CAAAAAAAATCTAAATACTGAGAAAATCGCCTTTAAAGTTGTCCAAATGAAGTTCTTAGCAATGCATACAACTAATCAAAAATGAAGTTTTGATATATTTACAGTAGGAAATTTACAAAATATCTTCATGGTACATGATCTTTACTTAATATCCTAATGATTTTTGGCATAAAAGAAAAATCTATCATTTTGACCCATACAATGTATTTTTGGCTATCGTTACAAATATACCCCAGCGACTTAAGACTGGTTTTGTGCTCCAGGGTCACATATGTGAACCAGTGTCTGTCTGCACTATATACAACAGCTTTTTAATTACTGTAGTACAGGAGCTAATTAGGGACACCAATACTCAAAACCCAAATGTGTTCTTATCTTATACACATTACACAATCAGCCTTTACACTGAGGTCTCAGACGGAACATAAAAAGGATAGAATGAAAGGATAAAAAAAGAAACAATTTCCATGCATTATGGACAACAAACCCAATTTTTCTTACTAAAAATGTCTAAAGTGCAAAAGTCTAAAACTCAAAGTCTTTTAGAATTTAAGAAAATTGATCATTAAGACGTATCACGTTTATTGAAAGAGTTCAGTGAGTTCAGAGTTTATGGCATATGATCTCATTCATCAAGGCTCCTGTCAAATAGCTGTCTGGGTAAAAGGCTGAGATGGATGGATAGATGGATGGATGGATGGATGGATGGATAGTTGAGTTTTTTTAAACACTCAAACTTTCCGAAGTCTTTCCATAGAATACAACTGAGAGTGCTGAAAATTTCTGACCGCACATGAAGAGCACTAAAGATGCTAGTGTGTTCATCCAAACACAGTGTGTTACTAAATTACAATATGAATATGCATACATACTGTATAATGACTTTTAAAGAACTTTGAAATCAGTGGGTCATATCATTAATGAAGTAACAAGTCTTTAGAGAGAGAAGAGTTTCATTCTATGATGTAAATAATTGAAATAAGTCATAAATTACTAATATTATTAAATATGTATGCATTCAAGGCCTAATTAATTTCAATTTATAACGATTTAGGAAAATAAATATAAGCATCCTAAAATCTTGAATCTGCATTAAGACATCAGCCCTACAAAAATATGAAACAAAAACTCTTACAGAGTGTGTTGTTTTATCACAAAGATTTAAGAAAAATGAGCTGAATTACAGAGAGACCTGTTCTCAACTCTCATAAACCAAAATCTAATTTACAGAGTTTTATAATACAAACATGACAACATCTTTTATAGCTACAAATTATATAAACATCTATTTACTTAAAAATATTGTAGGAAAGAAGCTATATTTTAGTACATCAATTATAAATCCAGAGTATAGAATAAAGAAGGCAATCAAAGCTACAGTGCAAATGCCTCTTAAACAGAAAGCTACTCGGATACATTTACAGTACCGAATGTTATTAACATGTTAATGTTAGAAACAGCACAGAAATCTATGAAAATGCAAAATCCTTCCAATAACATGCCTGAAAAATATCTAAATGTTTCTGATACTTCAAACCAAGACCCCAGAAAACATTCCTATCTTTGAACCAACCTGAACACTTTCAGTGCAGGGGAATCTAGAAAGTTACATTATACATTAACATAATATCATTTAATGGCTCTAATGTTATTAGGAAATAACTCCGCTAACCGAAATGTTGTTTCCGGTTCTGGTTCATGTTCTGGAGCACTAACCAGATTAACGCTCAGCCATAACAGAGCAATACTAAACCTAGCTGTGGAGCCAGGGCTACGGTAAACGCTCCAGGTACACTTATACAGACAGTGATAACTCTGGAGACAGACACAGCACTGTCCTCACCAGCCCATGCATCTTCCTCACTGCATTTCATTGAACATTCAGCATTGTCAAACTAGAAAAGCAAGCTTGATGAGTGCAGTAACATAGAGGGAAATGCATTCTGTCGCATACATACAAACTCTAAGATGTTTTGGCAGTGCATTAAGTTCAACAGGTCATTCAGAGAATGATGACCAAAGCTTGGGACCTCTTCAGAGACAGTAAAGTGTGCGACCATCTCCCCCTCTCTGGGAATGTATCACCACCATGCAGTCATGAGAGCCTGTGATGGGTTTAGCGATACATTTTTGGTTACTGTTGTTTTGGCACAAAAAGGAGGACACCGGTTGAGGTTAAGGGTGAGAGGTTAAAGGTCAAACGGCAGTCTCCTGGTCCTCACGCTGGATCATTTGGTAGTGCTGGCGGTTCTCAAGATACGCCGCAAGTTCTGCATCTTTCGCCTTCTCGGCACGATGCTTTGGAGTGTCACCCTGAAAATGAAGACACGTATTATAACAAATGCTGAAGAGGTAAAAAGAAATATAAATAATTTGACAATTTATAATTAAACCGCTCTCTGGTCCATCGAGACTCCGATTACAAATACAAAGTTCAAGAACAGGCTTCATGAACTGAAGCAAAACACACAGAACATCTATGGTTGCTCCAGGCCTTAATTAGGGACCGTTTCTTTCAGACAGATTCTTCATGAACAATGAAGAAGGGAAATCAAAGATTACACTGAGTCTCTAATGGTAAACATGTTCTTTTTTAGAAAACGTCTCTCTTTTTCTGTGTTGCCTGTGCCAGCATTGCTCAACAGTAATTGTTGTTAATTGCAGGCAGGCCTGGAGCAGAGAGTCTGAGAGAAAGGCCTGGACCGTTCCTGTTGGACAGAGCTCAGAGCACTCAAACTGTCCACCAGGCACTATCATTGTTGTGGCACAGATGAAGCTGCTTTTGTTCAAGAGTGTACAGTACGACCGGCCACCAGCACCTTTTCATACTGCGCAACTTCCAGTGCGGTGCTGCATCCCTCCATTTTCAGCCTTTTACATGCAAACAAAGGCAATTCTGGAAAAGCTGTCAAAAGCTACAGAGTCCTGTAGCTAGCACAATGGAGAATATTAGCCATGATGAGCTAAAAGAGACGAGTTTCACAGGAGGAAAAAAAAGCTTTGTGGTTAAGAGACTGATCTCTGCAGGGCATGCCCAACAGAAATATAATCACACTTTTATAGTGCTTTTAAAAACCAGCATTCATCCTCATACAAGTCACAAAGGAGAGAGAGGAAAAATGATGGAAATGATAATGGGGATGCTCATTATATAAAGACAAAGATGGATAGACTGTAAGAGAGAAACAGAGGAAAGGAAGTGAGAGGAGGACTGTGCTTCATCACAGGGCAATGAACGATGAGTCACTATATCTTGGATTTGATGCTTTCTGGATTGAAAGAAACTAAGAGTTTGGGATCCTTAGATTTGATGGAAACAGAGGGAAAGCAGGGCAGAAAAGTGCTGATGGAGCTGTTATGTGCAACAAACCACAGTCCAGGAAAATGGCACCGCTAAATCAGGTCTTGTTCAGATCGAGTATGTCAGGATTACGGGTGTACAATCTCCCTGAAGAGGGTAGATGAAAATCATGGGAAATCCTCTGAAGAGAAAAATATTCATATCAGTCTGCTCTCAGACCTCCCTCAACAGCACACGAGTTACTGATAATTACATAGATAGAACTGAATGTTGTCAGACAGACTAGAGTCCATTGGCACTCAGGAGACTCAATCAGTGCCATCTCAAACATTTATCAGATGGGAGCTGGGGAAGGTCTGCTAGACTGCTGTGAGCTTTAGAGAAGACCGTTACACCGAGGCCCAGTGGTGCAAATGTACAAAACTTCAGGAAAAAAAAGAGAGTGAGTAAGCGATAGAAAGTAGTGCAGATAGTTCTATCCACAAATGAGATTTTTGTGCTTTGTGGAAAATCATTCCCTCACAGATCTCTTCAAATAAGTAGTTTTTAAATTGATGTTTCTTCTGAAAAGAAGAGAGGCAGTAATTAGAGTCTAGTGTGTCTACAGCTGTGTGTAATTTTGCGGTACACCAATCAGAAGTGCTGCAGGAGAGCTCGAGTCTCTTGGCTGGATCTGTGGAGGTGAGCGGGGGAGAGGGTGGGCTGCTGGAAGGAAGAATGGTTCCTTGTTTCATGCGGAGGTCTTAGTCAGCACTGACTAACAGAGCAGTTGAGTACAGAGACGTTCAGGGATGGAGAACAGCTGGAGGCTGCAGCCAAAATGAGAGAGATCCAAAAGCCACAAACGTCTACAGAGGCCCGGCTTGGCATGAATCTGTATTCAGAACTTACCAAAATCATTCCTTCCTAAATTCTCAAATCAAGTACAAACATGGAATAAACTCTGACAGGATGTGTATCAAAACATACTCAAAACGCTAAGACATTATTTTTCATTGTGTTTTTGTCAGGAACAACGCCAGACCTGGTCATGAGGCTTCATTCTGTGCATGCAAGTGGACCACTATGAACATTAAAGGGATAGTTCACCCAAAAATGAAAATTCGTCATCATTTACTCACCCTCATGTTGTTCCAAACCCATAAGACTTTGGTTAATCTTTGAAACACAAATTAAGATATTTTTTATGAAACCTGAGAGTTTTCTGTCCCTTCACTGAAAGTCTAAGTAACCAAAACTTAGATCCAAAAAGGAAAAAAAAGGCATTGTAAAACGAATACATATGAATCAAGTCATTTAATCCAAATCTTGTGAAGATATACCATCGCTTTTTGTGCTGAACAGATTTAATTTGGGCTTCTTTATATCTAAACAATTCAAAAAATATTCACTTTAATTTGTTTTCAAAGATCAACCTTTAACCAAGTCTTATGGGTTTGCAATGACACGAGGGTGATTAAATGATGACAGAATTTTCATTTTTGTGTGAACTATCCCTTTATTCCAGCATCAAACATGAACATGAACTATTTCTCTACATGTCTATCTCACCTGTAAGTCTGTCTTCATGAGCGATGCTCCTGCCTCCACTAGGTAATGACAGATTGTCCTCTGACACAACGAGGCTGCTTTGTGCAATACCGTCTCTCCACTGAATAAGAAAGAAAGAGACAGACAGAGAGGAAGCAAGAGATAGAGAAAGGGATGAATAGACAGAGAGGGCAGGAGGCAGAAAAAACAAGACAAGCTGGAGGCTGTTAAAAATGAAACTCAAGATAATTCCTGAGAAAACTGGAGTGAGCCAGTCCTTACAACAGTATCATAAACTAGAACCTGAACTTTTACGGTCAACAGATAAAAATAACAAATGGCATCAAGTGTGCACTTACTTCTCTCTCTCTGTTACATCCAGGATATCGGTGGGTGCTGTAGAAAAAGAAGGGGAAAAAAAAAAAAAAAAAAAACAAAAACCTAAATATCCTTGCTTCAAAGAAAAGTTCACCCAAAATGAGTA